CAAAAGAGAAAACTAAAGTAGCGACTCTGGAGGAAATGAAGGAACAAGTCCTGAAGACTTATGTTTTAGTTGAAATAAAAGAAGTCTTTGAGAGGAAATTAAAATACAAAAGATCTATGCTGATAAGAATTACCGGATTCCTCACCTCTATCCCCTGCAATGAGCAAGGTGACACGGTGTTGTATCACCTAGAAGACTTAGTTTCACCATGTCTGGGCCTGTTGGAGGACCAGAACGACAAAATAATCATTGAAAATGTCAAGAAGTTTATAAACAATTTGCACTACAGTTAGGCTTATAAGTTGAATCAATTTCTCTTCTAAGATTACAGTCATTAGTTATGATTGATTTTAAGTGTTATGATTCTTAACTCTTAAGTCTATTTGAGCCTCCTGAATTTTTTGTGGAAGCTGTTCTTAACTTCAGCATAAATTCTTGACGAGAGATGCGAATCTTGCCTATTTTGACAAATTCATTTCACATTTATTGAACATTATTTAATTATTAAATTATAAGAGTATTGAATAACAGCGTATAGTAGGCCATACTTTCCAGTCGTTTTTGGCAAAATATGATGTCGATTCTTTATATTTTGATGTTTATTTATAAATATGAGGTACCTACTCAAATGAAATCAGTATTTTTAAAACTAACTTTATACTTTTCACTCATTTTTTATCACTTTTACTTATAAGCTTATATTATAAATAATATTTTGTTTTGTTAACTTATTACTGTATTTTAATTTATTCAATCCAACAATTGTTTTGTGACTCTCAAACTCATTTCATCTCAGTAAAATCTTTCTGACACTTTCCCGGCATATTTTACAAACAATATCTCAATTAAGCAATTAGGATCCTATAATCCTGTTATGAATAAAAACACAAGCTCCACGCAAACTCAAAATTCATTGTTCTAAGAATATGTTGACTGTTCTATGATTGTGATTAGTGATGTATATCACCATTTCATTGGCCTTCGGAAGACAGATCTTCCTTTCGATATAATATATATATACAGGGTGGGCCAAAAGTCAGTGGGCATACGTTGGCCTTAATAGCTCCGCGTGTTTTATATTCGAGAGCTGTTTTCCTGCAGATGGCACACTGTACTTACTGGTTCGAGGGTTCCGTCGTCATAATTTGAAAATTCGAATATTTTAGACCACGCCCATTCAATATTAAAACACCTATATTGTATTCTCTGAACATGCTGAACGCCTAATTTTTTCAGAGACGGTAGATTATTAAATGTTGCATATTAGTGCTTTTCATTCAAACAAGGAAAAACGAATCTTTTATGTCATGTTTCCAGGGTTTGGACTGGAATTGCCCGCTTAAAGAACATGAGACTTAAAAAACATGAGGCAAAACGGATTAGAAATGACGAAGTTATTTTCTGTATCTCGTTAACAAAATTGACTGGGTGATACTGATTATGTGACACCGTGACACGACACCTTAATTGGGCACTCCTAACAATTCCCATAATAACGGGGTCACTTAATCACGTGATTAGGTAAGCCAATCACCTGATCACACGTAATGAATAAACTCGTTTTGCTTCATATCTCGGTCATCAGAGAAGCTACAGTTCTAATTTTTTTGAGGACAAATGTAATTCGAATGGCCAAACACAATTCAATTAAATTTTAGCTCAATCCCACTATCCACACTATCAAATAAATGCAAAAATGAACCTTCATTTGAAAAAAATGAACTCTAATATTTTTCGATTTGACAAATTCCTCGAACCAGTGGTGGTAGTAAGTCATGCCAGAAAGAATTATTTCAATTGGGCACTCAGTGACTGAGCTATTAAGGCCAACGTATGCCCACTGACTTTTGGCCCATCCTGTATATAATAATATAATATATTATATTCAAGTGGTGTTATTTGTTGTTCATTCATTTAGTTTCAATTCATCTCAGCTGCATGAACTGTGTGGTATAAAGTCGTTGATAGTAAAAGGGTAAAAGAATGGGGCATCATTCAAATCTTCAAGAAGGTAGTTTATAGGATGTTTTAATTCCTAAGTATTTGTTGTCTTATCTTCAAGGCTTAAAGTAGCGATATTATGTCAAGATGTTTTAAGTTTTCCAAGCTGTTAGGACTGTTATTTGAAGTACCCTTATCATTGCCGAATTGCAATAAATTTTAACTGCAGACATCTTTAGAAAATATCTATTTCTTGGCCGGATTAAGATGAATTATTATTAATGGTGCTATATTTCAGGTGTATCTCCTCTATGCGATGCCTTGACTTCGTCTCCTTTTTCCACACCTGGCTACTTTAATGATAAAGAAAACTTCAAGGGAATGCATCAGCTAATTAATAGCCATCTCGCCAAAGATGAATGGATGAAATTGATCACTGTTTTGAAGAATATTTTTGAATCACCATTTTGTGATGACCGGGAGGTACTAGGCGTCATTTTCAGTCAAATCGTCTTTGCTAAAAAGCACTGGAAACGTCTGGAAAAGGGTGATACTGATAAGATAATGTTATTAGTATTACGTGTTGTTGAATCCATTTCTTTCTATGGAAACGAAGAAAGTGTTGGTTTATTTGTTTCAAAAAATAACTTTATTCAAGCTTTTCAAATAGTGTTTAAAAGGGGCTCTGAGTTGGCACAAGTTATGTGTGCAAACATACTAAAGCAGCTTTTAATCAGAAAAAAAGATATCAAGTTTGCAAAGCTAATTCTTCCGTTTGCTGTACAATTTAAAGATATGGTGGGAGGGAAGAACATCAGTTTCGAAGTCCTACAAGCAGGTGTTAAATTGATTCACAACATTTCTCTTCTTCAAGATTCCGAAGATTTAATGCTAGAAATTTTCAAATTGGGAATGGTGCCCTATGCTACCAAAGTTTTAAGCAAATGTCAAAAATTGAAAGATGACGTGCCAATGGAAGATGTAGTTTTCATTTGGACTTTACTTTGTCAATCTATTTCATCAGTTGTGGAGGCAAAATCAGATATCTTGAACAAATGTGACGTGCCGATACTTACTGAAGAAGTTCTTAAGATCATCGAAAATTGTACTACTGATCTGACAAAGCACAAATCTCTAGATAAAATTGCAGCTATTGCAGCTCTTGAAGAAGCTGTACAACTTTTGTCGATACTTATCGATAGACTAAACACACGTATTCATTGCAAGACGGTGACAGAATATGCAAAAAATAGGGAACTAGTTAACCTTGACTTAAAGACCGTGACAGAACATGGAGTAATAAAAGAACTAGTTCCTATCATACGTTTCATACTTCGAGATGATGATTTCAAAAGAAGTGCTTATGGACTCGTTCATAATTGTTATTATACAATCAGCAAGATGATTTTTGTCGAACCAGATAGAACAGTGATTGCTCCCGCTCTGTTCCCAATTCTTAAATCATTCAATGAAGATGCTTCCAATCATTTAGACAGAGCTCAAATCGTAGCCACAATTTGTTCCCAGGCTGTCAAGAGAGGGAATAAGAAAGAAGTAAAGCATCTCATCGACCATGGATTGATGCCGTTACTGGCTAAACTTCGTGATCATCTTCACCATGTCTGTGAATTGAATGAACTCTTCTTTGAACTGTATTTTGTTATTCTCAAGGTACCTGAGACAGGCGGATTTTCACATTTCGGGAAGGGACTATACAATACCCTTCTCGCCCTATACGGGAGTTATATTATCTGTCCAAATGGTGAAGAATTGGCTCGGAAAAATGGAAAGGAAAAGACAATGCAGACGATTGCCTTTGTGATAACTGCGCTTGGTATATCCTGTAAGTTCACAGAGGATACAAAGTTCAAGTCACTGGATGATCATTTTCACCGTAACTTTACGGAAATCCAGGAGGGCAAGATTCCGATAGAGTTACCTTATCCTGGACCGTTTATGATTAAAAAGATGGCAAAAGTAAACTGCTTCAAATCAAGTGTGTTACCCCATATTTGGTATATTACAGAACATGGTCCAGATGAACTCATAAAGGATCTTTTCGAGGCTCTGTCAGAAACAGAAGAGAATACTAAAGTAGCAACTCTGGAGGAAATGAAGGAACAAGTCCTGAAATATGTTTTAGCTGAAATAAAAGAAGTCTTCGAAAGAAAATTAAACTATAAAATATCTATGCTGATAAGAATTACTCAATTCCTTATCTCCATTCCTTGTAAAGAACAATGTGACACTGTCTTGTATCATTTAGAGGACTTAGTTTCACCTTGTCTGGGCCTGTTGGAGGACCAGAACAACAAAACAATCATTGAAAATGTCAAGAAGTTTATAAACAATTTGCACTACAGCTAGATGGCTCATCAACTTTTACAGCAAAATCGATTATAGCTGTTTACTATAAAATGCAGATAAACATTTCGTGCAGAACTGTTCACCTGTTTAATCAACCAGCTATCTTAACTTATTCTAATGCTGTTTTTCGCCTTACAATAATGATTATGCATTAGAAGTCAGAATTTTGTTTTTGGAGTTTTGTTTCGGGTTTTTAAAAGTTTTAACGTTTTGCGTGGATCTTATCTATCATCCATGCATGTAATTATAATATTTTATTTACTATGGAATGATTCATATTTTTTAGATAGTTTTTTAAAAGTGGATTTCTGCTTTTTAATATTCATTTTTTTGATAGTCAAAGGAGAAGTTCTTGAATTGGTGAATGCAGTTGTAAATTATTATATGATCTATATTTGTATCCTTACTAACCTTGCATCCAATCCAGACAGTTGACTTCTTTTAATTTCAATTATTTTTACTCTAATATTTTAACATACAGAGTGTTTCGTTGTATCTAAGGGTAAAATTTTTAAAATCCAATCATTGTCATGCTCATAAACAAAACAGTCAATGCTCAAACAACTTAAATATTTAAAGACTCCTCTCATCATTATAAAAAAGAGAGCATGAAATGTAACTTACTAACAGCCAACTTCGCTCAGGATTGATATGACAACGTCATGATCTCATTACTAAAATCACCTCTGAAAATGCGACCTCTAAACCTACAACTCGTGGTGTTACTAGCCTTGTTGAGCTGTACCACTGCATTCCATGAACCTGCACCTCCAGATTACAAGGACCTGGTGGGAAATGCTCGATGGATGGTAAAGTACACCAATGTCAGCATTGTCTCTACTCACTCCTCCTTTATGGATGGTTACCCCTTTGCTCAGAACAAGGATGTTGCGGATGGGCTGTACAATGAGACCCTCAGCACTGGGATTCCTATCATCTACGATTCTCCGATGTCTACTCTTACACACGATTTCTTAAAGGACCCAAGAGTAACATTCACATACAGCGCTGGGTTCACACACTACTGCAAGGAGCAAGGTATTGACAACGACAGTCCAACTTGCGGTAAAGCCATGTTGTCTGGCCTGATGGAGAAGGTTACTGACGTTGATGAGGTGGCGTGGGCTAAATATGGGATATTTGCACGGCATCCTGATACAAAGGACTGGCCTATCGGACATGGATTCACGTTCTACAAATTGAACATAAAGAATATCTACGTGATTGATTACTTTGGAGGAGCCACAAAACATCTGAATGTTACGGAATATCTCAGTTACAAACAGCCATCATGGATGTAGAGAAAGAACTCCAACAACTGGACTCGATTAAAATGATTATTTGCCAATTTTCAAGACCTTTTTATACAGTTTAATATTTTTATGTTTTTTATCAGTTTTTGAGAAAAGGTTTCTGCATGTTTCAGTAAAGATTAATTATGCATAATTTGTTGTATCGAAATTTATCAATTATTGTGAAATGTTAATGATTTATTTTTAATGTGTGTGAATGTTTCTAATATTTTGGTGTTTTAATCGTATCATGAATAAATCTATATGGAAAAATGAACTAAGAAGCAATATTAGCTCGCATTTCAAAATATTGTGCAATTATTCTGTTAATGAGTTCCCCAATATTACCCCTCGGTGATACAATGATATCAATATTAATCAAACTAATCCTAATTATTACTTCCCAGTTGAAAACATGTCTTACGCCGATATCAAAGCAAACATTGACGAGCTCCAGTTCCTACTGAGTCAAAGCAAGCAAGCAGCTGTACGCAGCTTGTTGGAAGGTGAGATTCAGAAACACAACGCACTTCTCAAGACAACATCTCCCCCAGAGAAGAAAGTGATTGTTAAGTCTGGGACCAGGACCAAGAAAATCACCCTTTACTCATGGGAGGAGAACCTGAAGTATGTGAAGGTTCATGTTCGTGATATCAAAAGTGCTGAGGACGTGATTGATGAGGAAAACATCGAAGCCACTTTCAAAGACAGGTCTTTTAATGTGATCGTAAGGAAGGTCGGACCAAAGGCTCTGAATTATTCTCTTGCTATTTGCAACCTCAACAAGGACATCAGCCCTGACGATTGCAAGGTAGTTGTTACTAAGACCGGGCTGTCTGTTCATCTGTTCAAGGTTAAAAACTCAATGTGGACTGATCTGAAGCTCAAGAAGGGGGAGGAGGAGAAGAAAGAAGACATACCAAAGATGGATAAAGATGCCGATCCCAGTGCAGGCTTGATGAGTTTGATGAAACAGATGTACGAATCAGGGGACGATGATATGAAGAGAAATATTGCGAAGTCAATGTACGAAGCACAGAACAAGAAAGGAGGTGAAGCCAGTGAAGCTCCTGGTGGTGGTATGGGTGGAATGCCTGGCATGGGAGGTATGGGCGGCATGCCTGGTATGGAAGGTATGGGCGGCATGCCTGGTATGGGAGGTATGGGCGGCATGCCTGGTATGGGAGGTATGGGCGGCATGCCTGGTATGGAAGGTATGGGCGGCATGCCTGGTATGGGAGGTATGGGCGGCATGCCCGGCATGGGAGGAATGGGTGACCTGGCTAGCATGTTGGGAGGCATGGGCGGCGGCGGTGGCGGCGGCGGCGGACTGCCTGATATGGGTGATATGGGAGCTGGATTTGATGATCTCTGAAGACAAATCGTTCTATGACTTTTATGTGCCAATCAAGAAAATTGTTTCCATATTTAGATTCTATGATCAAAAATTTTGAACTTCAATGTCCATGACTGCGGCTGCTTTTACCGTCATAATTTTATTTATTTTACAGATTGAGATCTATTTCTCTAAAACTTTGTTTCATTGCCGATAAAATTGCTGAAATCATAGATGTGGGGAGGTGAAACATATTTATTTGACACGTGACAACAATTAAGCTTCTACCACTATTGAGTATTGACCAATCAAACCCTAGAATAACTAACAGATGCCAAAAAATTTGCTTCGCCTACCCACCAAAATTCAATGTAACTATGTAAGCCTCGTTGCTGTTATATCACGAGCTCGTTTGTGTTTAAATTTGAATTATTTAAGATTGATGCTACAATATTCAATCATTTGTTGTTTGTTATCATATTCCTATCTTATAATCCTAATAGTATTACGAGAATTGTTTAGCAGTAGATGCTAGGAGCAATTTCAAGCGATAAAAAGAGTACAAATATCAACGTTCGCTCGATCTACAACAACTTTATCTCTTCTTTAAATGATGATCTGTTGCTACATCTACCTAAAGATGAGGTAAGTAATATCCTGTTTTTAGGAAAGATGATGGTCAAACTTCCGTAATTAAGATAGGAGGTAATCTATAGCTAAACCTTCATAGAACTCTCACCAATAATATCTTAAAGGTTCATGACGCCCAAAAATAACCCACCCTTATATTTTAATATATTGTTGTTATGTAACATATAACTAAGATTAGTCAAAACCGGACCTTTCTATCTGCTTCCTATCCCGAGATATTGGGAGATCTAATTATGCTCCCCACCGAGCTTGTGACGTCACGTTTGTGCCCACCTTGCTTGGTTAAAATAACACTGCTCCTACAGCTATAATAAGGTTGTTTCTGTTGTTTCTGACATAAATTAGGTTGACCCCTCTCCAGGTGACCAAGAGCTTAGGGTACCGCGACAATTGACCCCCGACAATTGACCCCCCGACAATTGACCCCTTATGTAATTACACTGGGGTCAATTGTCGCGAAATCTAGGGTTTAGTACGACAATTGACCCCCCGACAATTGACCCCCTAGGTAGTTAAACTGGGGTCAATTGTCGCGAAATCTAGGGTTTAGTACGACAATTGACCCCCCGACAATTGACCCCTTATGTAATTGCACTGGGGTCAATTGTCCGGAAATCTAGGGCTTAGTACGACAATTGACCCCCCGACAATTGAGCCCCGACAATTGACCCCCCGTGTAATTACACTGGGGTCAATTGATCGAGTTAGGGTCAGGGTCCTAGGTCAGGGTCCTAGGTCAGGGTCCTAGGTCAGGGTCCTAGGTCAGAATCCTGGGTCAGGGTCCTCGGTACGGTCAGGGTCAGGGTCAGGGTCAAGGTCAGGGTCAGGGTCAGGGTCAGGGTCAGGGTCAGGGTCAGGGTCAGGGTCAGGGTCCGGGTCAGGGCCAGGGTCAGGGTCAGGGTCAGGGTCAGGGTCAGGGTCAGGGTCAGGGTCAGGGTCAGGGTCAGGGTTAGGACTTAGGGTCCTGGGTCAGGGTCAGGGTCAGGATCAAGGTCAGGGTCAGGGTCAGGGTCAGGGTCAGGGTCAGGGTCAGGGTCAGGGTCAGGGTCAGGGTCAGGGTCAGGGTCAGGGTCAGGGTCAGGGTCAGGGTCAGGGTCAGGGTTAGGGTTAGGGTTAGGGTTAGGGTCAGGGTCAGGGTCAGGGTTAGGGTCAATTGTCGGGGGGGGGGGGGTCAATTGTCGCCCACCCGAGCTTAGCCAGCAAGGCTATGGATCATGCGATACTGATACAGACGAAGAAGGATCGTACATCCCGGAAGGATCTCGCCTCAGTGCTCTAGTACCGGTCAGGGTCAGGGTCAGGGTCAGGGTCAGGGTCAGGGTCAGGGTCAGGGTCAGGGTCAGGGTCAGGGTCAGGGTCAGGGTCAGGGTCAGGGTCCTGGGTCAGGGTCAGGGTCAGGGTCAGGGTCAGGGTCAGGGTCAGGTTCAGGGTCAGGGTCAGGGTCAGGGTCAGGGTCAGGGTCAGGGTTAGGACTTAGGGTCCTGGGTCAGGGTCAGGGTCAGGATCAAGGTCAGGGTCAGGGTCAGGGTCAGGGTCAGGGTCAGGGTCAGGGTCAGAGTCAGGGTCAGGGTCAGGGTCAGGGTCAGGGTCAGGGTCAGGGTTAGGGTTAGGGTTAGGGTTAGGGTCAGGGTCAGGGTCAGGGTCAGGGTTAGGGTCAATTGTCGGGGGGGGGGGTCAATTGTCGCCCACCCGAGCTTAGCCAGCAAGGCTATGGATCATGCGATACTGATACAGACGAAGAAGGATCGTACATCCCGGAAGGATCTCGCCTCAGTGCTCTAGTACCGGTCAGGGTCAGGGTCAGGGTCAGGGTCAGGGTCAGGGTCAGGGTCAGGGTCAGGGTCAGGGTCAGGGTCAGGGTCAGGGTCAGGGTCAGGGTCAGGGTCCTGGGTCACGGTCAGGGTTAGGGTCAGGGTCAGGGTCAGGGTCAGGGTCAGGGTCAGGGTCAGGGTCAGGGTCAGGGTCAGGCTCAGGCTCAGGGTCCTGGGTCAGGGTTAGGGTCCTGGGTCAGGGTTAGGGTCAGGGTTAGGGTTAGGGTCAGGGTCAGGGTCAGGGTTAGGGTCAATTGTCGGGGGGAGGGGGTCAATTGTCGCCCACCCGAGCTTAGCCAGCAAGGCTATGGATCATGCGATACTGATACAGACGAAGAAGGATCATACATCCCGGAAGGATCTCGCCTCAGTGCTCTACCAGCTCTAGTACCGATTGAAAGCTGGTGCTCATGTGGTCTGTGTATTAGACTGCCATCAAGATAGAGAACTACTACTGTCGAGAAAGCATGTGTCTCATGGTTTCGATTTTGGAAGACAAAGGTATACGATGTGTGACAGAGTACGAACTGTTCAAAACGGCTATTGGAAATCAGGAGGTACTGGTCTACTGGAGTTGTGTGCCTTCGGAATGGGCTGTGTGTAATCGGGGAAATAAGAAGACTGTATCCTTCAGACCAATACACAGCCATTAAGGAGTCTCAATTTTTCTCCCGTCTCGAATAAGCTGCATATTTCTTGAAACTGTTTCCACGGTTGTAAAATTTATGAATACAATTTGATTTTTAGTTATGTTATAATTTTATAAGCATGAAGTATTGATGTTTACATTGAGTACACAGCTGATTCTGAACTGCTGCAATAAAAAGTAACTAAATATAGCTAAGTCAAAACTCAAAACACCACAAGCAAAGGAAGTGGGAACACAAAGTGCCCTAGTACTGTGTTATTTTAACCAAGCATGTCATGGAGAGGGCTGCCGTGACGCTACATGAAATTAGTGATATGGGGCTGTAACTTGGTAATTGAATCAGTTAGAAAGTCCGTTCTTTCACATAGTGATTGCATTTTATATTATAAATACTATTTTTATCACTATTCAAATATTTTTTGATACCAAATCTCCAGCGTCATGACCCTTTAATATGTAACACACTTTTTTTTCATTTGTTTCCAATTCAGGGGTTGAAGGAGTTGAACAATGCTGAAAAGATAGTAGATTATCTCTACACATGCTGGCTAGTACCTGAGATATGTTATCATGTTGCTTCCACCTGTCGTTCCCTTTGCAAAGTAAGTTTTTCGGGTTTAGTCTTTTAGTCTGTGATCACTTACCCAGTGGCGTAACGTTGCCTGTTGGCGCCCTTTCCTCTTTTGGCGCCCCTCCCTGAAATTGAACAAATTAGATGATTTTAGAGGATACGCCGGTAAAATCTCTAAAAAGTGAGTTTCTAGAGCAAAACGGGCAGTTTTGCTAGTACCGTAGTCCGTAGTAAACCTGTAAACTTTTTCCAAATTGTCCCACATTCAAACGACGATTTGGCGCCCCCCTAAGATGGGGGTCGGCGGGGCCCTTCGTTACGCCACTGCAGCTACCTACATTATCTTGTAGTAGTGACTAGTGATTGACTGAGTCATCGGTCTTCATTTGGCAGAGGATGGGCGCCATGTTTTCAGTACTGCTTCCAATCACTGTGTTGTCAACTTCTCAAGTCAAATCTAATTCCTGTACCTCTAGTGAATTGTCCCCAACACAATTAATAATTTCTTAAGAAACGTTTTCAAATCCGCCTGATAACTGATCTCTTTCCGTCCAGGTTTTCGTGGTGCGAGGAAGTGAGGACCAGACGAAACATGTGGAGTATGTGCATGCCTTAGGAAAGACTGCAGCGCATACCAACATATCCGTGTAAGTCTGCCAAAAGCTCTGCCGCCCGTTAAGTCTAACTTTGTACTGTTTAAATAAGCATTCGTGACATTTTCAATTTGACAGAATATCTAGAACACGAGTACGTGTGTCGTATGTTTAAACGTGATGAGTTAATTTCATTCCTATTTCATATATAATACTCAAATTACATGTGACCTATGTTGAGTTTCGTCAAGACTTGACGGGGCCATCACATCTTCTGACCACCATGACATTATGATGACATACTCAAATTAATCTGACAACTTTCAGAGAATGCTACAATTTTATGATATCAAAGGTGGGAATTCTCAAAGATGATCTGTCCTCGAAAGATACTCTTAACATATTGTCAGGAATAACAAGGTACACTATTTACAAAGAATGTGCAGTTTTCATTCAATTCTAATCCCACCGTTCCAAAAAAAGAGGAATTTACGGAACTAAATTTGCTAACTATGGGTGTGCAAGATATTTTCTCAACTCTTGACTCTTAAATTTCAGCATTGTCAAGAGTGTTCCCCAATGCAAAGATCTTATCTGTAAAGAAGATTTGCTGAGGTTAAGGAAATCCGGTGATGCTGAAATAAGCAGGTAGGACCACTCTTTTGCCACATGTGCTCAAACGGAGCACTGTGAAATAGTAGGTTGTGTACGGCGCGATGGCACAAAGTCATGACAACTTCCTTGACTAAGCGACGAATTTTAGGTTTTTACGCGCCGCGCGCCAATTCTACGGCATGCGCATAGCACGTGAGTGCCCATTCGCGTCACTGCAGTTTGGAGGTGCCGCGTAAAGTTTGCTTGAAGTACGGCTATAATACAGTGCCCCCTTTAAAACAACTCTCACCCAGGAGTGCAGAGCACTTGCTGACACTGTGCAATGGTCTGAATGACGACGTGTTTGGTACCTCGACACCTGTGGATTACCCCGGGGATCTTTGGTAAACTCTCAAATTTTGTTGTCCCATTATTAACTATCAGGTAATACTAGAGTTGCAAAAAAGAGGTTTGAAAGAAACACCACTTATTTCCTCATTGTTAATCTGGCACCACGGGTAGGACGGCAGAAGCAAATTAATAGAAAATCCCCTCAGCTTTTTAATATTTGAACATGTTGTAATCATAACCTGCCTGGCCTTTATCACTTTTCATTTCCTTGTTTTGTCAGGAAGGAAGACGGTACTGGTGACGCAGTTATGGATGATTCAGAACCAGTGTATCTGGAGAGATTGTCACATTCCATATTTGACACTTGTGGCGGTACCCTTCATATAAAGCAAAAGAAGGTGAGTAGTGCAATGTGCATTGCTTGCGGATCAAAACCTCTTTACATTCAAACTTACAATTTTAGCCATACCATCCATTTTTTAAGGAGAAACGCTCTTAGGTGCTTACATGGTAGGTAAATCCACTTGGGACACCATAAAAGGGTTTGTCATATTGCTTTCTGCTAACTCAAACACGTGTGGTAAGGAGATGTCACAAGTTTGTTCAGAATCAAACAGTAAGTATGAAATAGATAGGTTGGTTCTACAAGCTGATTGGATTACCACTGTCACGTGTCAAATAAACTTGCACCACCTTTACCCGTGTCCGTTGGGTTACTTTAAATAACGCAGCTCAATGTTCAGGGTACAGTTAAAGAACTCGTCCGCACATCAAATGTTGAAGAAGCAATCGCACATATCGGCGAAGCATATGATGCTAGAAAGCCAGTTTTATTACAGGGTCAAATAGGGTCAGGTAAACTATATCTTGTCATTATACCTTTCGTTTTAGTTGATTTTAGGAGTTCCTGCTAATTATTGAAACCTAAAATGGTTGCTTTGATTAAATCTCTGTTCGGTCTCGCCATTCAACCGTTTCAATTTCCAGGAAAAACGTGCGTCTTGGAGCATTTTGCTTCGTTGTTCGGGCTCAGTCAGGAGGATGTGTTGTCGGTTCAATTGGACGAACAGACTGATAGCAAGGTAGGCCTAGGGGAGAACAAGTTGGTCACTTTCTGCTATCTGTTTCTCCTATTGTAATTTAAACAACATACTTAAATACTTTGTTCTCCTAAATTACTGATTTTGTGACATATTTTATGGGACTAAACCACTTCGATCACGTTTCTTTTGTTCACATTGGAACCATATTTGTGGACCATGCAAGCAATCATCTCATTGATATTTCCATTTGATATCGTCCAACAAAATCTCCTTTCTTATGTTTACCCTATTAATTAATTTAATTTATTGTTTACCTTTGACGATATTCAAGCTATGCCCAATTGGGTGGAGGGTATTGTTTGTTTTAACTTTTAATTTGTTTATTTTTAAAAGTAATTGCATGTGAACAGCATTCTAAACGATTCTCATATCATTTCATAACCGGAAAAGTATTTATCTTTTTTCCTCCAACGTAAGATCGACAATAACAAAAACTCTCATCCCAATTGTAGATCCTGATAGGGAACTACGTATGCAGTGAAGTGCCGGGACAGTATGTCTGGCAGCCTGGTATCATTACTCGGGCAGCCTCCACCGGGAAGTGGATTATATTCGAGGATATCGACCACGCTCCCTCCGACATCGTGTGTTTACTTTTCAAATTTGATCAATTTTCAGATCTCCTATTTTTGTACCAGCTGCGTCTTTAATGAAAGTTAAGGTAAAAAAGTTTGGTTTGTATTTCCTAAATATTGGCATAATTAATCTCAGAAATCATTAACCAACTCCATCGCCTCCTCAGATAGCCCTGATAAAGTCTGTAACAGAGACTCGTCGTATCCAGACCCCGGTAGTGGAACTTCCAACCCACCCCAACTTTACGATATTCCTTACTCAGCGGGTCACTGACAATGGTTTCAGTTACAAACATAACCCTGTACTGGCTATGCTGGACAACACTTTCATTCAAGTCAGACTGAAATTTTACGACGATATCCAACTGAAGCAGGTCTATATCTTGAACGGAATTAAAGTTACCAGCATTTCCTAGAGTAATATTATTGAGCAAAACTAGAAATATGAGCCGTAACTTTTACTTGCATAAATAGTGGGGATGAAACGACTAGTCATTGCGTGGCTCCAAATTTTATGGTAATCTATGAGTAATCAGAAGCATATTATGATGGTAACTCATAATACGGATTTGTAAAATGTCTAATTAGTCGTAGTCGCATTAGTCTGCTGCATAATCGGCCGCTTCTAAACAGAGCTTTTGTTTTAAAAACAAACTTTATCGTCTGATCAGCACCCTTGTCAGGTTATATCAGGGAAGTTCCCAGCACTGGCCGGCTGCTCGGAGCGCCTGGTTCACCTCTACAACTCTCTATCTAACTCTACCCTCAGACAATTAATGAAATGGTCGAGCAGGGTGCAGGGGCACCTCACTCACAACCTCACTGTCGTCACTAAAGAGGTGTTCTTGGAGGTTCGTGCTGGCAGTTTTTAACCATGTTCCTTGCAGTACTTAATATTACGTATAATAAGACATTGTAATATGAAGTAGAACCTTAGAATTTATATAAATTGACTGAGAGGAAATTTCGACATGTCCTGATTGCTCCGAAATGAACGATTTTAACTGTTGCAGGCAGTTGATTGTTTTTGCAGCTGGCAGTCTTGCCCTCAAAAGCGCACTGAGACAGCCTACAAGATCGGAACTTTTCTCAGCATGCCAAAATCGAAGGTAACAATCATTAATTTATTCAAAATCAACAAAATGATTTTGAATATTTTAAATTCGACTTATTGAAGACAGAAAGTATAGCATCATGCTAGTAATGAATATCAAAATATTTTCTCTTTTAGTTTCAGTTTTAAAACTCGAATCACTCAAGGTAGAGAGCTATCTGACGAGCTACCAGCCAGTAGTGACTGCCTCCCGAACCCACTACACGGTGGGGCGGTGCACTCTTCAATGTGGGGGAACACCCCACCCCACCCCACTCTTCGCCCACACTCGGCACACTGTGGTGTTGCTGGAGAAGCTTGCCTGCGCTGTCCTGCACTGTGAACCTGTGCTTCTCACTGGCGAGACTGGTAAGTTACCCTCACTTCTTACTTCTCACGGATTGATGATTGTTAAGTAGTTTCTCTTGCGCTCATTGGTCTGAGTTTGTCGTGTGCGAATTCGTAGACATATTTCACGGAACCGTATAACGAGGCATATTCTTGGTTTTTTTCGATTTTTTGACACGATTAACTGCCTAATTAGGTAAATAACATGAACGATCTCCAAACATCATAAGATCATGTATTATTCATGTTCTTCAGTTTCTTGGTAACAGTGTTTAGTTTCAACTTATTCGGTGAACAATTACATATTCAATGTATTATCTTGATAACGTGACGCTCTAAGTTATAGTTTTCAGTGATCTCTTAAGGTATTGTCCACCTTATCAATATAATTGTAAGTTCGAGATATTACAGTCTTACAATTTCTCTAATGGACTTCAGATGAAAGATAAAATAAGGGGCGTAACTCACATCTTGAGGAATGAATTTAATTGTTTTACTATTGAGGCCTCGCCCAACCGCTCCATGAAAGGTATTAATATCTCTGTAGTCTATTCGCGATAAATTGTACAACAAAATATTATATCGGTGGGTAGACAAGGGCGTCGTTTTCAAGTCAAGACTCTTTAAGATTATAAAATATGTTTTCCTCTGAAAGCATTCACTACAAGCAATAAATAAATTGATCAGGGAGTGGACGAGAATCTAGCGTCCTCCCCCAATAAAGCAATAACTGAACATTCTGGTTTATTGCAGATCACTAATCAGGCCGTCTCTTAAAGATTTGAATATTTATGTTAATCTGGTTAACGTCAAAATGTTGCTCTTCTGAGTGCAACATTTTCCAACTTTCCACCTATAGCTGGGTACTTGCTTGTTGAAATGTAGGTGCTGTAACTCTAGATTCACATCTTATCTGTCCTTGTTTCGTCCTCCTCCTCTTCACAAAGCAGCCTCTAACCCATGCTCTGATGGCTGTTACTCTGGTACAGAAGAGCACGGGATTAACTACAGCATTGAGCAGCACACTGTTGATGCAGGAGATTATGAAGCAGTAGTTGTAGTTGCTGGCATCCCAGGAAGCAAACACCGAGTTGTTGGGGTCGATAGATGAGTCTAAGAAACTGATCGTGCTGTAGATAACGATTGGTGTGTTGCAGACAATGTAAGCGCATGCCAGCAGAATAATGGTCGTGGTTGCGTTGTTTTTTGTGTTTACGCAGTCTGGTGGGTTATGTTTGTGAGTCCGTTTGGATTTACGGAGAGATACTATCGAGATGATACAACAGGTTATGATGACAAAGTATGGGGTCGCAAACTCGAATATTGCCCTGTAAAAAAACCAGACGTAGAATCCGCTAGTGGGGTAACCAAAGACGATATCCTCCGGCCAAATACACATGACGATCTGTTTCAGGTAGCTGTATTTCAGGCCAAAATAGAAAGGAATTAAAGAATGTGCCATCTCCCATGCAAAATATACCCCAATAAAAACCAGGATATAAAACTTGCTTATCCTTCTAAAAGGGTGGAGTAACATCATCATCCTACTGACCGTGAGAGCCATGATGATAAAGATGGAGAGCCTCATGGCAGTATTCCAAACCACACCCCAGACCCCACATCCCACCCCACCCTGAAACCACACTGCTGGCTCTCTCTTAGCAGTGAGACTCAGAGATACCGGCACATGGAACACGATGATGACAATGTCGACCAGGCAGGTGAGGAAGTAGAGCGTGTCACTGAGTCTTCTCCAGGCTCGGTTGCAGAGGAAGTATGAGAAGAGGATGAGGTTGCTGAGTAGACCTATTGTGGTGATAACCAGGGTGATGTCACCTAGGATTGTATCTCCAAGGTGATCGTACTCCATCAGGCAGTCCAGGAGTTTTCCCTATTGTTGTGACTATTTTAGTTCCAGAAATTGGTGAAGTAGCTCTTTGATCGTCTTATCGTCGGCTCATGTCACATTATGCTGACGCTACGATTTGTAAATATTAGATCATTCTAATTCTAAAGGGTAAACAAGATAAATGTTTAAGGGTCTACAAAGTGACGAAATATTCCGTTCCTTTGAAATCCTACGATTTCGCTGACTTTAACTAAAAATAGCCCTGACCAGCAATTAAACCTATCTTACCGGTAACAGGTGGACTTTAAATTGAAACTCTAGTTTTATCTTTGAACTTTATAGCAAGTTAATGCGATCTGGTCCAATCTTAGCATTGGTAATAGGTTACAGCTGCGAAAGCTACCGAGACTTTTAATATGATATTTCTCAACAGCAGTTCCAGTTCTATAAATTTCCCATATTGAGACCTTATATTGGGTGTTATGTAATAATTATACTGTAAGATAATTGCTATATAATTTTCTAATAGATTTTTCTATGCGACCTCTCACCTGAAAGTACTGTACGTATATCGGTCTCAATTTCGAAGTAATCTTACTATATATAAAGCGAGACGACATATATATATATATATGACGTATACATATTGATAAGGTAACAATACCAATTAATGTTTCTCAGCTGATTAAAATAAATACTGAAAAAAAAAATAAAAAAATAAAAAAATGAAAAAATAAATACTGTTAGAGTTGTTCATCTTCAGCCAGAGATATCATAAGTTTACCATGCTAAGTTGGATATTGTGAACACTTCCCTATTCCTCAATTTTTAGTGGTGTCATAGATATTACATCGCCACAAAATTTACTACAGATACGCTAAAGGGTCTGGGCCTTGTACTAGACAAATTCTCCAGACTCGTGATTACACTCACTGCTAACAATATCACGTGACGTGCACGCAAACTCGCGCGCTAAAATGCGCACATTCAGAAGTGACGAAAACATATGTCACCCCACTGTATACTATACGAATAAAGATTGGCGGAATGACAGGCTGAGCGCGGCCCAGTATGAGTAAACAAGCACCTGCTCAAATTGCCTTTTAAATTCGATCATTAAATCGATCCAATGATTTCTCTCCTAACAGCAGAATAGGCATGCCATAAATATAATATATTTGATTTTGTTGCCATCACAAATATACATATACTAATACAGTAACAAGTAGTATATTTCGTGAACTCTCGCTTAATTAAAGGTCTCTGTAGCAAATTATTTGCAGCTGACAAACCTGGCTCAGATTTGTAATCTTTGACAATAAAAAGCGTAATTTTTCATCCACAAAAGATAAGCGGCCGCATAATACCAATAAAGTGGTTACTGGATAATAATATCTTAATTGCTGATTGCACGGTTGAGATATTCTGTGGAAACATTTAACGGAAGGGATCCTTAATTATTAAATACTGGTATGAAGGCAGATATGACTTAGCAGTAAAAATGGGTTTCAACTTTCCAGCGAGATACAATGTTTTGATGTCTCGAATAATTGCAGTTAATAGTTACAAACAAACTACAATCTTCCGACTACCGCAAATACGTAGATATCGGATGTTATGTTCGACTAAGTTCAGATGGTCGGGTATTCTAATTCAATTTTAGATAGGGCCAAGTGCAGGAATTAAAATTGGTCTTATAATAAATTGGTCTGTGATAAGATGGTCCGTAGTTAGGACTTAAGATTTTCACTGTATATTGTATACCAGGTATACCAGGTATACCAGACCTTTCAGCTTCGAACACAAATCGGTTGAAACAATTAAAATCTTTCAAAACGAAAACTTAACCAATTACAATACTGTTATGTGCTACCGAGATTTTAGTTAATATCCAAAGTCAAACGAGTTAGTTCTATTCGGTTTAACAAAAGGCTAAAAGGTTGGCACATTCTCGAGAAAACTTAATGGTACGATAGTATTATATAAAATATAGTAGAGACAGGTGTTTCAACTATAAAGTATCGCACTGAATGATTTTCTAAGTTGATATCGGTCTGGGGGTCGTGTCACGTGTACAGTTAAACAATTAAAACAATGGCTGAAATAGACAGAATCAGTTTAACGAAATAACAAGACAACTGGACAGTTACAGTGGACGTGTGAAGAACAATTATTGAGAGACAATTATTGGAGACCTGACTGATAACCTGACGTAGCGTCTAGCTAGGGCCGGGGTTGGGACTAATATTATTATAATTATTATATTTATAGCTTGTTAAATCTTAAAGGTTAGGATAAATGTTCTGATCATTACATTATGATGATTATAGCTAGATTCAATTGTAAGTCTTAGGTAGCAGATGCTCGACTGGATTTCGGTTGTAGCTGCTTTTATAACCAAATCAAAGAAATTAAGTGGTAGCTGCCGTACGCGTAGCTGCCAGGTCAATTCGTTATTATCATCGCCCTATCATGAAGACTGAAGAGTGCAGGGGCTTTCCGAATTTGTTTGATGTGTAATGCTTCAACGTCCTGTCTCAGCTTCCCATAACAATCGAACCTGGTAACTGAAGAAGACCAGAGTGGTTACTGGTCGAGGGAGAAGCCGAGAAGGGGTTATTAAGCACAGCTGCTTGCAATATATTGCTTAGTCCGACAAAGGAAAAACGCGGCTATTCCTACTCCCTTTTCTCTATCATCTAAATTTACATACTATAGTTTAACAATTTAATTTTAATTTTACTGACAACATTAAACCTCGCAGGTAACGGTAAAACGGCGTCAGTCCAGCATCTAGCAGCAAGAACGGGCAACAACCTGGTCGTGATAAACATGTCTCAACAGAGTGATGCAGCCGATCTTATTGGCGGGTGAGGAGTCTAGATTAATGTGTTGTTATAATACTATATGTTTTAATAATTTATTTTATTAGTGGACCGCATGAGAAACCAGCCAGACGCCATAATTGGCTGAGTTTCAAAGTTAGCAGTTACACAAGGTCATCGAACGTCGCGTTTTTAGCAAAAAAACAAACCAATGACGATAGAACAGTTTCTAATCAACAATTTTATTTCAGATTTAAGCCACTTGATGTAGTCCAGCTCATGAAACCACTATACACCACCTTCGAGCTCCTTTTTAAAGATTCCTTCTCTGTCACTAAAAACGCAAACTTCCTTCAAAAAGTTCAGGTGTGTGTGTGTGATGTAATTTACTGGATAAAGAAGATTAATGAATTACCGGAGGAAGAAACGCGTGTCTGTCTTGCATCACATCTGACATCTGGCTCTTAATTACAGTTCTGTCGTCGAGGCTTTGAGATCTTATGTAATAATACATCCTTTAGATTTGTTGGAGACAAAAGGAATGGGGCACCCTTCTGCAAGCGATTCTTCACATTAGCAAGAAGATGCCAGCGTCAAAGCAGTGGTGCAAACTTGGTGCCGAGGCGAATAAGATAAGCAAGCAGATAAACCAGATTGAAAACTCCTTTGCTTTTGCGTTTATTGAGGTAAATTTCGTTTATAATTTTGATTTGTTGGTGTCATTAAGAGGTGACAGGAAAACTTTAAGTTGCCACTTTTAATCATACATTTTTTTTTGATTTGGTAGGTGATGTCTTTTCCTAATAACTTCCTGTCGTGAGACATGTTCGATGTGAATACAGTCCCCCTGAGTCTTTCCTCCGCTGGTTCCCAGCTCTATTTTGTGTAATAACAAACATAACAAATGTCGTATCTAGGGTTCACTAGTTCAAGCGGTAAGGAACGGAGACTGGGTTCTACTAGATGAGATAAACCTGGCCCCTCTTGAAGTTTTGGAGAGTTTGAACTGTATTCTAGACGGATCCGGATTTCTTGTCGTAGAATCAGGGTGGGTAGAAAGTTGCCAGAGTTTTTCTCAGTAGCCTAGTGTTGTTTCTGAAATCAGACACTAGACCTCATGATACTGACATGTTTATTTTTGCTGTTATTAAAGGTACCATGTATTTTATAAGCCAGTTCATTCAGCGAAGGATTTCATTTTCAGGAACATGGATGTTGTTAAAAAGCACCCGAACTTCCGTTTGTTCGCCGCTATGAATCCGTCTACTGACATTGGGAAAAAAGATTTACCCGTGGGAATAAAGAATAGGTTTCCTTCATACATTCAGAATGCATTTAATTATTTTCTTTTGCCTTCCACGTTATCACTTTATGTGATCGGAGATTTAAATTATATTTTTCAGTCTGGTTAAATTTATCAGTTTAATTATTAATGGTTAACTGCACCTGGTATGTCAATATTTGATTTTATTTCGACAGGTTTACAGAGATATTTGTAGACGAGCTGACGGAGGCTGGAGATTTACGAACTTTGACAGCTGCTTATCTTCACCACCTCAACTTGCCGTCCGTTATGATCACTAAAATTGTACGTCATATTATTGTTTTTAATTATTGTAGATTTTCATTTTTGAATTTTTCTTGGAAACTAATTTATTTACATCAACATTTTAAATTTCACCCTAAAACTGCAACTGGTCTTTACTTAAATGAGATAAATATCTCAATTATAGCATACTATTCTTCTCAAAAATGATTAAATAAATAATTAAATAGCTCATTGAGTTAAATCCTCCTTTAAATGTAGCTTGTCGCTCAGGTATCTCTGTACACCGACCTAAGAAAACAAGCAGCGGATGTTTTGACTGATGGTCGAGGACATAGGCCCTGTTACAGCATCAGAACACTTTGTAGGGCCCTCAAATACATCGGTAAGTTTGTGATTTTGTATGTAAATACATCGGTAAGTTTGTGATTTTGTAAGTCGAAATTGGTTCCCGAAATCACTGAAAGTAGCACATTGGGATATCAATTTTAAGTGATAATACAGATTTTAATTTTAAATTCAAAAAAATAATATTTTTTTCCCGCTTATGTACTGTATCAGCAATCTAAGTAAAAATAAAAATTGATTATGTCAAAGCGGTTATCACAATACTCCAAAAATCACAATACTCCGAAAACTAAATACTAAACTTAATATGAACTAAGATCAAGAATATGATAGTACATCTAAAAACAAACCAATTAATTCGACGTTAAAACCTACTACATCACAAAGTAAACACTCATGTCATTATTAATAATATTCACTATGAGATAATATTAACTAAAAAAATGTTACTATTTCTGATATGATGATTTTTTTTGTCTTTTGGCCGTCAGTTCTATCCCCAAGACCAACTGATGATGCGAGGCTCGCTCTTCGAGAGTGAGGGATATGAGGAGATGAAGACAGTTTAATGACGCTTTAATAATCTTTTTAATTTACTGGGATTACCAAACTGCTGAAAGGTCTCACACTAGTTCATGAATATGCCTGACTGCATACATAATCGACTATAATCATCTAGCCAAATAGACCTAAATGGTTGGGCGTACAGTTTTGAATAATCATGGTCATTGCAAATTACGTACAACCCCTACCATAATTTCTAAAAATTAAATAAAATTAAACCGTAATCTGTTCTGTCTCAAGCTCATTGATATCCCGACAAGATTTCAAAAACTGTGCTGAAAAAAGGTGGAAAATTCGGTTCGAAATATTCACCCTTAGATTCATTGAAGAACTAAACTCGAGGCTGTCATATCGTCGTTTCCAACGGGTATGTTCGTAACCGCTCGGTGGTGATATCGTCCAAATTAGTCTGTTTTGGGTGACTGTCTGTTTCATTTCTATTTAGTATAGCCGTTGACGTTTTTAAATCATTTTTACGACAAGAAAGCCAATGCGATGTTACCATAGTAATCTTAGACCATATGAACCTCCTGAAGCTACGAACAGTAAGACTGTAAATGTAAAAGTTCGCCATCACGTTTAGGAGTGTCATGTACTCGGAATGTCTTTTGAATTGTATGTGAAAGTAACCCGGTGGAGTCTCTGGAACGAATGGTCTCCTCATCTTGTAGACGGTGTATGGGAGCGAAGAAACACAGTACACAATGCCAGTTAGCAGGACTGCCATCATACCCTGCCATCTCAGAGTTCCTCCTCCACGGCGGGATATCTTTCTTGCTTTTACCAAAAATTTGAAAGTTAGCACGGAGGATAGAACCACTGCAACTATAGGAATACAATACAGCAAGCCCACACTCAACCCAGCATATGTCCAGACATAGTTTTTAGACCGAACAAAATCAACTTCATAGCTGGTGTAGTCAAATATGAGGTCCATCTTGTTGATGATGAGCAGGGAAAATGAAAATACAACACACGAAATCCAAAGAAAACCACAGGCCAGGTGAGCCTTCTTTTCAGTCCACCGTGGTACTTGTAACCGGTATTTTATCATGAGGTACTTGCTTGTTGTCAGAGCGCAGACCAGGATGTTGGTTACTGGAAACACTGAATAAGCAAAGAACTCGTGGGTGTACGCAATATAGTCCCCAAAAACCCACTTTTCCAACACCAATGACACAATAATTGGAGATATGTAGCCAACTGACATGATCAAATCGCTGATAGCTATGTGTTGTATCAGGCCAATCAGGAAGCCGTTGAGCTTAAAAACGTCTGCTTTTTTGGAAGCCACCAATATGACGACATCGCCGACGAGCGATGAGATGACAACTGTAGATAGATATCCGATCCAGAAGTATCTTTCCGCATCAGTCTTGATCCCATAGATTGTCTTATCATTGGATTCTATCGTCATCCGTAGGGCTGACTAGATGAAATTGTAAGGGTGAGAAGTTGGAATTGTTATAGAAGAATTATCAAATCGAATGAAAAGTGTCAAACCATAAACCATAGGGCTGACAAGACGAAATTGTAAGGGTGAGAAGTTGAAATTGTTATAGAAGAATCGACAAATCGAATGAAAAGTGTCAAACCATAAACCGCGACTAAAGCTTGTATTTATAGAACGTTTATTGAACCCGAGCAACTATTCAGATTGAAAATGAGCTGTAATTGTTCCAAAACAAGTTCCGTCATCAGAATTATGCCTAAAATATTTAGGTTGACGTAAGAGATCATGCATTTTGATGATTAATAACTACAATTGGCCAGTGACGATCACATCCTGCAGCTAATTATTTTTAAGGCAGATCATTCTTATTTTGAAAGGCAGCATTAAGAAGCCTCAAATGAGGTCATCAGATGGAAGGGTTAGTGTCGACACGGTCCTGAAGTGCAGTCACAAAATGGTAATTTGATGTTATATTGAGATCGGGTTGACATCAGCAAACTAATTACATATAACATATGCATCGCAAGCTTCTGAAGAATAGACGGCAAGTGAACGGAGTCCGACTTACTACCGAACAGACTGACTTGCCTAGAAATAACTTTGATCTGGTTGAAATGTTAATGACCACTTGCTCTGGAGAGAGCACCGCATCACCAGCATTTAAAACCTAGTTACACAACACATTTAACATCTGATTACCTTATTAGTATGGAACTCGTTTAAACAAATTGAGCCAGTCCAGTTTCGGGCGGCACTGTGATCGGAAGTCCCCTTTTATTTCCTGGTAGTGATAACGAGCACAAATAAGCTATTTTTCGACATAGCGGCGACCGGTCTGCGATCCGTCCTATTTACAATAGTGAGCCAAATCAAAAGCAGCATTAAACAACAGGTTGCACTACCAAGAAAACATAATATACCGAAAAACTGTTACAACTGATGAGATGAAACAATTCGAAGAGGCATTTTTCTCTTTAAAGACCGAAAGTAAATTGCCAGCATCGTAATGAAGACAACAAATTACACATCTATCGAGCTTGCAAAATACTGGCGTGTTACTCGACGCCGAGAGAAGGAATGGCTGGAGCCTGGAGAGCTAATGAAGTAAAAAGGAAAGTAATAAAATGCCGTACGGAGCACTGTCTTGGAAACGAATTATAATTGCCAAGGAAACGTGTTCATTAAGATACTGAGAGATAGTTGGTCGTTCACATAATATTACGTAACCCTTTTTTGGAACATGTTTACCCCCCCCCCCCCCCCCCCCCCCCATCGTAATCAGTTTTACACATAGCTATTGTGTCAAAATTACACTAGCGTAATCATTCGGAAACCCCCCCCCCCCCCCCCTCAGCTAATTACGTAATATGTGAACGACCCCTAACCCAACAGTGTTATAAGGTCATGACCAGTATAAATATAGGACCAGTATGCAGGACCACTTGTATATGCGATAGTGGGTTACGTGTGCCCTAGCTTTGATCTCCTGGTTCCTTATGCATGGCTTGTGCTCATCAACAGCGCTTGAATAGTGATCACAGCTCCGTGTAAAATCTTGCCCTGAAGCAAATTATTAT